CCGCCAGCCTCCCTCCCCCGATGTCGGCTTGCGGGAGAGGGTCACGGTGACCTGGGGGCGTGGGGCTGGAGGGCTCGCGGGCGGCCCTACCCCAGCCTGAGAGATTACCTCTTACGAGGCCTGGGAGCCTAGTTACCTGGCTCCAGTCGAGGACCCCACCTGATGACCCGTCCCAATCACCGTGATCCGCGGAGCCTCCGGCACTGTGAGCCGTGCTTATCCTGCTCCATGCGACCGTGACCACATCCACGTCCCCTGCAAACACGTACACATCCCTTTTGAACAGATGGTTCCAGTCCCGCCATCTCAAGAGGCCCCCATTCACCCTTGCCTGGGTCCTCGTCATCCGGGTTCAAGGGATGGCCCACTCGCACCCGGCCTGAGGACCCCTGAGGTCACTTGACCACATATAACGCCCCTTATCCCTCTGACTAAATGATTGTCCTACTAGATGATTGTCTTCGGTCCTGTGACTGTCTGGCAGTCCCTTCTCCGAAGTCGGACTTCGTCATTGGGCTCAGCAGACCCCCTTCTACACACAACTATATTCACATACATACAGCAAGCCCCCTCATACTCCTGTGACTAGTTTTATTGCCACCATCTTGGCGACTGTCTAGCCCATGAAAAATACACACCCAACTCCGAGCCTGGAGATTTTGTCACCTGGGCTCAAGTGACTTCCTTTTCCCCATACCTGCCAGGCATGGGGACACTTGAGGCCAGCTTGGTGATATCTAACATCCCAACACACATAACACCTCCCATCTGATTCTGCCATCTCAGTGCCTACTTTCTTGGCATCTTGTCTGGAATCAAGAGCTGCCCCCCAACACCCTCAACTCCTGGGATGAACCCCCTACTTGCCCTGGGATCACCATGCCCACATCTGGTTTCTTTGTTATGTCCTACAGAACCCAAATCCTCTCAGCTGGAAAGCATCAGATTTTACTCTTCGCATAGACCTGATGAACAGCACCCCGCTCATGATGTTTTCTGTCTTTCCCTCTTTAATATGCCCTATATGACCGTTGTAGCTTGTGTGTAACTCTTGTTGGGTCATCCTGACAGGAGGGAGAAGACACCCTTATACTGGGTACTCCAACCACCCCCTACTCATCCATCCTGACCTTCACAGCCTGACACCCCCCCCCAATCCGTGTGTAGGGTCCACTCCCCATCCCTCCCTCTTCTGACCTGGGTCAGCATGGGTTCCTCCCTGAGGGGGTCTCTTGGGGGCCCAGGGAAAGCCCCAAGGTGGTGATGCTGGCTGGCATTGGACATTCCCTGGGGCAGGAAGCCCAGCCAGGACTGGAGGGTTCCTCCTGGGCTCTGCAGTGCCGCCCTCCCAGCCCCACTGCGGACAAGACAGGGCTGGGTATGGAGCTTGGGGCGCCTTATGTGGATGGCTGTCCCAGTCGCAGAGCAAGGCACGGCAAGGCCCAAGGCGGGCAGGCCCCTGAGGAGCCCCCTCCAGGCGTTTGTGTCTGTGTCAGCTCCATCCCATCCTTCCAGTCCTCCCATCTGTCAGTTTCTACCCATCTCTGCAGTTTGGTACCTCGCGCCTCCCCCTCCTCGTTATGATTTGATTTCTTTTCTTTTGGACAAATCGGTTGTTTCTGTTGTGATTTATCGTGGTGTTGTTTTTTTTCTTCCTTTTCCCCATCCAGTTATTGTGATCACTCTAAGCCCTGCTCCTGCCCCGTCCCAACGAGCAGGTACCAGCCTTTTTATCATTGCCGCTTGGACATCTGCACCATTGACCTAACCGCTAACCCGGCCGCAGAATGCCATCCCCCACTGCCCCCGTGCTCCGTGTGTGTGAGCGCGCGTGCGCATCTCCTCCCCGCACTCTCTCCTTCCACAATCAACATCAGGCTTACCTGCCCTCTTCCTCTGTGTCCGCACCTCCCTCTCCTCCCTTCCTCTCGGGTGTAGGTTTGGGCTCTCTGTAGGAGGAACTGGGCTCCTTCACTAACTGGGAATCTGTCACCTGCAAGGGGGTCAGGCGTGTGCATGCATGCGTGTGTGTAAGTGGGAGGGAGAGAAGGCGAGGCCAGTGGGACGTCTGTGTCTATGGATCCATTTCAGCAATTCAGAGGGCATGTTTTGGTACCTGTTTGCTGTGCCTGTTCTAGGCACTGGGGACACAGCAGTGAACAAAATGGACCAAGTCCCTCTCCTTATGCAGCTGACACCCCACTAGTGGGGTGCAGGGGATGAGAACAATGAGCACATTCCTGGACCATGAGAACTGGAGAAGGCTCCAAGCCTTGGAGAAGAGAAAGAGTAGAGCAGAGTTGGGGGTTCTGCAGGGGGTTGGCCAAGGGAAGCCTCTGAAGAGGCGGGATCTGAGCAGTCTGGTGGGAGCTGGGGGAGCACGTGAATGGAAGTAGAGGAAGAGCCCCGTGGAGGCCAGACTGCAGGTGGGCGTGCGTGGGCCATGCCTGTGCTTTGGGGGTGTATGTGAGAGAGATGGGGCGAGGGGTCTGCCCCTGTTGGTCTCTGCGTGTAAGTGGGACTAGGTTGGGCAGTTGAATGTGTACAACCTCGTGTGTGCGTGTGAAATGGTGTTAAGGGCTCTGTACGGTAACGTCTGCCTGTTTGCATGTGTGTGGGGCTTTGTGCCATATCCTGTCTGTGTGCGTGTGTGTGCGCGCGCACGTGGACAGCTTGGTATATCTGGTCCTGACAGCTGCATGTCCCCATGTTCTCTCTTTTCCAGTTCATTCATTCATTTCTCTGTCTCTCTCTCTCTCTCTCATTCATCTTCGTGTTTCCTCTCTGCTTTCTTGTCATGTGGCCCATCACCATCTCAGTGCTCAGTGCTTTCACTGGACCTTTGTGTGTCCCCCCACCTTAGCCGCTCTCTTCACAGTCCCAACACGCTTCATCTTGTGGGGCTGTGTGGAAGCCTTTGTAGCCCCACAGCCTTTTTCCCAGCCCCGGGGCAGCTCTGAGAGGCCCGGTGGCCTGTTTGAGGAACGGGACCCATGGGGCACAGAGAAGTATGGAGAGGACAGGGATGTGGTCCTCTCCCCAGAGAGCTGATGGTGATAGGCAGAAAAGGAGTTCAGGTACCCCCCCCCACCCCCACCCCGGGGGTGAGAACCTGGCAGTATGTCAAGAGAGTCCAGGTGCAGGGAGAGCACAAGGTGAGGTGATTGCGTCACAGAGGGAGGGTTTAGGACTCTGATTCTGGCCATGGCAGAGCAGAGGTATAGGATGTTCCAAAGC